AGTCTCGCCATCCTTGTCTCTAAGGAGCGTTCTGCCCATATGTCTTCCAAGACAGATTTCTTTGTCCTTTAAGCAGTCATGGTACTTTGAATATTCTTCGCTCGCACCCAAAATTCAAATGCAGCTGTTCTAATATGGCCTTCCTTATTCAATGTCCAACTTTCACATGAATATGAGGGGTGTGAAAAGACCATGGTTTGTGTCAAGCGCACCTCAGTCGTCAAAGGAACATCCTTCTTTTCAATACTCTAAAGAGGCCGTGTGCAGCAAGTTTACTCAACACAGTGCGTCCCTGGGTCCCTGGGTCCTAGCCTCATAATCATGGAGGCATAAACTCAGAAGGCATAAAGCTGCTGCTTCCATGAGCACTGATTCTTGACCCATTCTAACAAGTTCCTTAACAATCTCCATCTTTTTTCCATTTATCATGAGGTTACATATCGGTCCAGTTGTAAGGACATTCAGTTATATCTATATTGAAGGCTGTAATCCTGGGTCTTCATCAACAAGTGCTTCAAGTCCTCCTCACTTTCAGCAAGCAAGGTTGTGTCATCTGCATATTTCTGGTTTTTAATAAGTCTTCCTCCAATCCTGATGCCACATTCTTTTTCCTCTAATCTAGTTCCTCGGATTATTTGTTCAGCACACAGATTGAATAAATATGGTGAGGGGATACGACCCTGAGGCTCGCCTCTGCTGATTTTAAACCATGCAGTATGCCCTGGGTCTTTTCTGCCTCTTGGTCACAACTGTCTCTTGATCCATGTTGGTACAGTGGAGGACCGTGAGAAAGAGGACGGCCTTCAATGAGCTGGATTGACACACAGCTGCAACAATGGGCTCAGACATAAGAACAATCGTGAGGGTGGGAGAAGACGAGCCGGTGCTTCATTCTTTTGTGCATAAAGTTGCTATGAGTTGGAACCAACTCGACAACACCTAACACCATTAGTCACCGCAGTTATTTGTTACTTTCCCAAGTACCCATAGAGTTTGTTAGTTACGTTCATGTTCATTCCATTCTTGAACTACCTTCATGCAAACTGAACCCATTGTAGAGATTAACGCTTTTGGATTTAGAGGTACTTTAAGGTTTCCAGTACCTACCTGCATGCCCACCTACTCCAAAGCCCCAGTCTAAGAGACTGTGGTTCCAGCAGGCCTGGCCTGGGCCCTGGCCTTATAGTCACGGAGGCATAAAATCAGAAGTCTCCTCATTGCATGGAAGAGTGTAATGATGGGTGTGGGGGTCTTGCTTCAAACATTGGTGTTTTTTTAGTAGTTTTCTTCTGAATCAGGCAAGAGCAAATGTATAGCTTCACTTCCATGCCCATCTCATGTCCCTGCTATCTCTTTTTTCTGTCTCCAAGTTCACTGCCCGACGAATGAGCTCCTGACAGACTCCACGGGCGTGATCCTGAGCCAGAGCTACCCTGGAAGCTACCCGCAGTTCCAGACCTGCTCCTGGCTGGTGCGGGTGGAGCCCGAGTATAACATCTCCCTCACGGTGGAGTACTTCCTCAGCGAGAGGGAGTACGACGAGTTTGAGATCTTTGATGGTAAGAAGCGACTGCAGGGCTCTTACGGGGCAGAGAGAGGAAACACACCTCCCCACCTTTACCAGGTCCCAATCCTCGGTGGGGGCTCAAGAGCCTCTCCCTGGTCAGAAGTGATCCAGCACAGTCATTACCAGCAGCCCTCCTGGAAGTGCAGTGGGAGGGACATGCCCTGAGCGCATTGCCAAAGAGCAGGCACTTTGCTGGCGTCCTCTGGCCCAGCGCTTGCAGGCACCCATTATCATGGTGTTCCCTCCACAGGCCTGCTTGGTAGACACTGTGGGTTCCAGCCCAGACCTTCACAATAGAGCAAGTGGCATGCTTTCCCCCCCCCCCATGTCCCAGTGCCTATAGAAGTTATGTTAGGCTATAAATCCATTAAGTGTGCAATTACATAAAATCTTTAAATGATGTGACATGTGACACAGACATGAAAGAGCCAGGGGGGAGGGGGAATTGGGAGGAGGATGCAGACTGTGCCAAGAGCCTTGCTCGCTGCATGGTTGTCACAAACCTCTAGTTCATATGAGACACAAACTATGTGAGTCACAGTCATGCAAAATACAATACACTGAGGGATGTCTGTGTAGCGGAGCCTTGGCTCCGGGAAGGAAGGAACTCACTTACCTTCATAACTGAGAAGTAGCAAGGCTGGGCTTTACTCCATCATTCAGTGAACCGTTACTGAGTGCCTGCCAGAAGGTCCCTGGAGGGCACCAATGGTGTACACGCATACACTGTCCTAAAGGTTGACGAGCCCATGCAGCAGATCAGTCTACTTCCATAAAGATTTCTGTCACTAAGACCCTGTGGAACAGTTCTTCTCTCTGTAACACATGGCACCACCATAAGTCAGAATCTGCTGGATCACAATGGGTTGGCTTTGGGTCCCAGATGCCCAGATCCTTGAACTGGTTAGAACACATCAATGAATATTACAGAGTCCTGACTTCATGGGCTGGAATGCTTGCATTATGGCAAAGTGAGGCAGATGCTAAACACTTAGGATAAGTAAGTGTTGAGATCATCGTATATAAGATGGTGAGAGACACTACCAGGTCCGGGTAGAACAGCATCAAGAGAATTAGCAGGGGGGTGGGGTGGAGGTGGGGGAGTAGCAGTGTGAAATAGAATGGCCAGGACAGGCCTCAAGGAGAAAGTATGATCTGAGGAAAGACTGAAAGGACAGGAGTTTGGGACCTCGTATCCCAAACGCACTGGAAGTCTGAGCACTCCCAGTGTGCATGGCAAGCATTAGCCATCACTGAGACCTGGCACACGTGCATGCAGAGCCTTCACCTGCCCCTGTGAAAGCTCTGGGGTGGCCAGTAACTGAGGTTGGCTGACACCTAGCCTGCTGAAGCAGTGTCTACTTGGCTGTTTACAGCCTCGCCAGCAGTGGAAGCTCTCCGGGCGCATGCATGTGTAATACCAAGAATTTCGACCTGGTGATCACTTATGACTCTTCATCGGACCTTCTTGTCCTGGGCTTTCGGTCTCTGCTTTCCCAGGCCTCCTCTGACCAACTTTTTGTCTATTTCTCATTGCTGTTGAGGCCTGGGATAGTCCTCCACACCAGGCCTTTTTTTTTTCCTCCATCCAAACAGAGTAACCAAATGCACTGTCCAAAGCTTTGCCCCTTGGGAGGATTTCAGCCCTCACTCCATTCCAGCCAAGGTGAGACTACAGTGCAACAAGAGGTCTTTTCTGGCTTGCATACACATAGCAAGACAACCCTCCTATGAACCAAGTTCAGGGTTTTTTCCTCCTCCATCTGCTCATCGCAGGGAGCATCCATCCATAAGCACTAAGAGGAGCGCTAGGGAGAGGCGTCAGTGTAGTTGATGTACTCAGCCATTAATTGAAAGGTGGTCAGTCGGAGTTTACCCAGAGAGCTCTCATAAGAAAATCTCGACAGTGCACTTCCTCATTGCAGCCATTGAAAGCCTACAGTTGACTTGCAATGAGTCGGGGTTGAGAACTGCTGGTTTAATCTTAGCATCGTTGAAAGCTCTGACGGTCTGTGATCCTGTGCCCCTCTCGCCCCAGGTCCATCAGGACAAAGTCCTCTGCTGAAAGCCCTCAGTGGGAATTACTCAGCACCCCTGGTGGTCACCAGCTCCAGCAACTCTGTGTACCTGCGCTGGTCGTCAGACCACGCCTACAATCGGAAGGGCTTTAAGATTCGGTATTCGGGTGAGTAAGACACAAGGATTCACGAGAAGAGCTGCTGCTCCTGTCATTGCATATCTCTCCACACATGCCCTGGACCAGCTCCTGGTTGAACGGCAGAGGTCCTCCATGGGGACTGGGCATCCTTCCTCCTACTCTTAATCTCTCATCCAAAGTGGTACCAATGGACTTTGGCATCTTCCTCCCTCCCTTTTTTTACTCTCTTTCCCCTTTAACCGCCTCCCTCTCTCCTGCTTCTCATATTTCTGGTATGTGTGTTCTAGATAAGGTTATAGACATGGTTTGCTAATGCCTAAAAATGAAGCTATCCTTACCACTGCTGACATGTTCACAGATGTTCTTTAAAACTGACAAACCCTAAGACATGGATCTCCAGATGGAAAAGGTTAGCTAGGCAGCAAAGGATGGGGACTCTATTGTAAGTCCATGAGTGTCCCTTCTGCTCTGCAAGTCATATCTCCAGGGCAAGGTCAGACCAAAGGTCAGGTCAGCCTGACAGCTGTCTGGGACAGCCATCTATATAAAACGCATAAAACTATCACTGGTGAATGAAATGAGATGGAGACCATCAAATTTTTGTGAACACTCATCATGGGAATTGCTGTCTGTGGTTTGATAGAGAACTTGAAACGTGGCTTGGTGTGCCCTTGGAAGGAGGGTGGGCCCGGTGAACTGAAGACAAGCTTGAAGGCAGAAATCAATTGTTTAGGAACCTGGGGCGAGACTGAAGTGCACCACTAGCAATTCTGCTCAGGATTCTTTCCCCTGGCTGCCTTTGCCCCGCATGCCAAACTAGTGTTGGACAGATTATAAAAGAACAGTGGTTGGAAGACAGGTCCAAATGCAGCCTGCCTCGGTCCCGCTAGCTCCAGTTCCTCTCTTCTCTTGGGTCACCTACTTGAAGATCCCAAGGAACCTTGGCACAGACTTCCAGGGAAGAGCAAACCAGGTGAGCTGGGCAGGAAGGGATTGTCACCAGCTCAGAATTGGTTTCCCTGCAGAGTTAGTCCAAACTCCTTTCCTCCTGCGCACACAAAAGGCAGGATCCCATCAAGACCAAGTGAGTGCCCCAAGTGCAGTAGCCAGCTCTGTCCCTGACAAGGGGTATGATTATTCGTCAGATCACTGAAACTCTTTGGGCCTCAGTTTCCTCATAAGAAAGAAGAAACTTGGGCCTTGGTGGTCGCTAAGGTATCTGTGTCTCTCATCTGTTGGCGATCTGCATGGATTTGAGCACCTGAACTTATTAGCTGGACAACTACTAGCCTTCAAGCCACAAAGGGGACCCCAGACTTGCTGTAGCTGTTTTTCATTTTCTTTTCCTTGGTCTTTACTAAACCGATGGGCTGCTTTTTGATACCACCACTTAGGCCTCTGTGATGAGTAGCGACTCTGATTTTCTAGGGAGAGCGAGAAGGTGGGGTGTGAGTGAGAGCCCAAGTCTGTCTTCTAATGCGAATGTGGTTCCTGAGCCTCATCTTGTTGTTCAGCCCCTTACTGCAGCCTGCCCAGGGCTCCGCTCCACGGCTTCATCCTGGGTCAGACCAGCACCCAGCCTGGAGGCTCCATCCACTTCGGCTGCAATGCCGGCTACCGGTTGGTGGGACACAGTATGGCCATTTGTACCCGACACCCCCAGGGCTACTACCTATGGAGCGAGGCCATTCCTCTGTGTCAAGGTGAGTGGCACGTGGGGCAGGGGTGGCTGGGAACCTCTGGCTCCTGCTTGCAACTTGAGCTTGCCCCAGCAGCAGTCACTTCCAAATGTGGGTTTTTGAATTGATTCTCGACTCATTCTCTCAGCAACCTTCATCGAGGATGCATCATATCTCAAGCCCTGGGTTTGTACACATACTTCAAGCATGGTCTCAGAACGGTGTGTGAGAGAGATCTAGGTAGGCAGATAAACACAAAACAGCAGAATAAGAAGTGCCGTCACCGGAGTATGCTGTGAACAGAGTACGGGAGCTCAGTGCTCCACGCGGACTGGCTCCTTCTGGGTAGCAAGGGAAGGCCCCCAGAGAGAGATGGCATGGGCTTCGACTCACGTAATGTGGGAATATTGTGCCAGGGACTGGCAAGGAAGATATTCTAACAGCAAGGAGCGTGTGTGCCCACGCGTAGACTGTCGAGAGATCACAATCCGTGCAAGGCAGTTTGGGTAGATGAATAATACCAGGTGCCGGGAGGTGAGTGAAAGGAGCCGGAGCAGAGGACCCCTGATGGTGTAGTAGTTACGCTTGGGCTGCCAGCCGTAAGGGCGGCCACTTGAAACCACCAGCCGCTCTGCGCTAGAAAGACCGGGCTTTCTATCAGTGGCAGTCTCTAAAACCCACAGGGGTCGTTATGAGCCGGCATCCACTTGAGGGCAGTGAGTGTTTGGGGTTGAACTGAGACCATAATGACAGTCAGCAGTGACCAAGCTTCTGCTCTATGCCAGGCAATTTGCACACTTGATCTTCTGGAGCAGATAGGTATTTCCTTTAAAGTAATAGGTGTTTCGAGTCGCTGAATGGTGCAATTAAATAGATAAAACAAAAGGAACATGATTCTATTGATCATAGTATATCATATGATTATATCAATCTATGCAGAAGAGGAACTCAATAAAATTCGACACCAGTTCTTGATAAAAACACTCAATAAAGTAGGAATAGAAAGGAAATTTATTTACGTAATGAGGGCCCCATCTGCTAAACCAAAAGCCAGCATCTCACTCAAGGTAACGAAATTGAAATTATTCCCCCTCAAATGGGAACCAGATCAGGTGGCCCTTCATCGCTACTCTTTTTTTTTAATAGTTTTATTGGCCTGTAATCACATGTCAGGTAACTTAATGGTCCAACCATATGAAGAAGAATTGTGCAATCACCACAGGCAATTTCACACCCATTCCTCACACCCATTTCTCACACCCATTCCCCCCACCAACTTCTCCTGCCATGGCCCGAGGTAATTATTAATCCAGTGACTGTGTCTATGGGTTTACCTGTCCTGGATTTCATATACAGAAAGACACCAACAAGAAGCAAACAACAAAAAAGCAAAATCAACAACAACAATGGCAAAACAGAGAAAACCTTCGATCAAAAAGAAAGCAGAAAATATAAAGTACGGAAACAACTCTTATTTAATATAGTCCTGGAAGTCTTACCCAGAGCTATTAGACTTCTCAAAGATACTAAAGGCATCCAAATTGGCCAAGAAAGAAGCAAACCCTATTTGCAAACGAAGTGATTTTCTGTATAGAAAACCCCCAAGACTCTATTTTTTTTAATGCTGGAACTAATTAAACAATTTGGCAACAGAGCAGGCTGTAAGATCAACACACAAACTGGGAGGTGTAGGTTGGAATCCACCTGGAGGGTCTCCATGATTCAAACCAACTCGGTGACAGCTGGTTAAAGGCGCATTCAGACCAGAAATCTGAAACAGCTCTAATCATGTACAAGAAAACAAATGAAAATGACCTGTAATCCCATCTCCTGGCATCCCCACTGCTAACATTCCCTTCAGTCTTTTACGTTTGGTTCATGCTTTTTCAGATCGCTTGTAGTTAAGTATAGTTCCTCATCATTAGTTTCAATGTTTGCAAATCATGTACGAGATGACACTCATTCAAATACTGACCTCTTTGTTTATTGCTACTGTAGACAATGTGGCTAATTAATTATAAATCCTTATAATTTCATCTTGATGAATATGCATATTTGTTTCCTTAAAATATGTTCCCAGATGAGACTGTTGAATCATATTCTGTCTGTTGACAAAAAATAACAACCTTATAGAAAACAGAACAGAACGCTGCCATACCCCAAAGCATTGCTGTTTGGGCCCATTGTGGCAGCCACTGTGCCCCTCCATCTCAGCGAGAGGCTCCTTCCTTTTCGCGGAGCCTCTCTACCAAGTATGTCCTCCAACAACTGGTTCCTCTTGATCGTACGTCCAAAGGAAGCAAGATGAAGCCTCACACTTTTGCTTCTAAGAAGCACTCCAGTTGTACTTCCTCCAAGTCTGATTTGTTTGAATAACCGTGTTAGGCCGGGTTTACTAGAGAAACAAATCCAGAGATAGTCATATATGTATAAGAAAGAGCTTTACATCAAAGAGTAATTATACATTTAGACAATGTCCCAGCCCAGTCCAGATCAAGTCCAAAAGTTCCAGCTTAGCCCATAAGTTCAACACTAGTCCAAAAATCCTTCTCCAGGCTCCTACAGTCACATGCAATGTTGCAAAATGCAGGAAGATCACAGGCTGGTGGTTGCAAAGTCATCTGGATCCAATGGCAGTGGAAGCATCTCAGTGCTGTCTCAAGTCTCTACATGGCTCCTCCAGCTCTCCAAGTGCGGCTCTCCAACAGGAGGGTGAAGCAGAGAGAGAGTGCTCCTAAAGAGCTCAGCAAGCCTCCTTGTGGTTTGTCAACAGGAAGACCAAGGCAGAGAAAGGGAGGAAGTTCCCAGAATCCTCATGAGAGAGCCATGTCCACAAAGAGGCATCATCAGACTGGGACCTGATTGACAGGCTAGACTCCACCCCTTCAATCTTAACATCCTCAAGTTGACAGGAGATTGTGTAACTACCACAATAACTTAGGCAAAATTGATGCTGCTTGGTGAGATAGCCAAATGATCCTCCCAAAACTTTGTGCTCATTTATATTTTCACCAGCAGCAGGTCAAAGGAAGAGTCTCTTCTGGATAGTCTTCCCTTCCTCACATTGTAATAGAGCCCTAGCTCTACGCCTTTTCTTGGATTGTGACCTGGTAGTAGCACCAGGCATCTTTGTGAGCCATGGTTGATAGGTCTTTCCTCTGCCCAGGCTTATGGTGGCTCTTAGGAGGGGTCTGCGCTCTAGCTCATTTGCAGGACAAGAGTGTAAATGGGGGACATAGAAGTTGGTACCTTGTCTCCAATTAATCTCTCTTCATCCATAGTACCTCCTGGAGACAAGCATCCTTTCTAAGTATTAATGTTGTTGTTGTTGTTGCTGTTTTCTAAGATGTTTTCCTACTAGGTCTCTCCCATGAATAAGAAGGTGAGTTGAGTATGTGGCTGAATTAAGCAAAGAGAGAGGTAGCCTTTCGATTGTGAGCCCTTCAGTCCTAGAATTTTAAAAGTTTCCCTCTGCGATAACTGTTCCTACACTCCCAGCTATAATTCTCTGCAGGGTTTCCCCTCCCTTAAACGGGAAAGAATGGCTTAGAGAGAAGATGCCTACTGCGGCTACACCTGTGTTCTGAGACGAGAGTGGATACTGGTCTCCCTCTGTGATCTCATTCACCCATGTCTTTGGAGCTGAAATATCTTGGCTTCGTTGAATTCATCAACCCGCTTCTATCTGCTTTTCATCTTCCAAAAACACTTTTGAATCTCTCATCTACTGAGAAAGATCTCATCATTTTCCTTTTTAGTATGAGGCTTTCCCCGTTTATTTATTTTATGGAGGCCTTGGAGGTGAGGAAAGAAAAAGGAAAAGTTCTCAGACCACCATCTTGAACCAGAAAGCCTCATCTTTTTTCCCTCTTGCTAGCTCTTTCCTGTGGGACTCCCGAGGCTCCTAAGAATGGAATGGTGTTTGGGAAGGAGTACACTGTGGGCACCAAGGCTGTGTACAGCTGTGGTGAAGGCTTCCACCTTCAGGCCGGAGCTGAGGTCACAGCGGAGTGTCTGGAGACGGGCCTGTGGAGCAACGACAACGTCCCCCCACAGTGTGTCGGTGAGTCCTTGGGTGGTGGAGGATGGGGCTGGGCAGAAGCTAATGAGATGCCTATAAAGATTCCGTAGTGAGAAAAACGTGTGCATGGAGGCTGGGGGTTCAAGGAGCGAAGGTGCGTGAGGGCTGTCCTCTGACTGCTATGCCCTGAGATGCTTCCATAAACCGTCATAGAATTGAGCAATGTGCCGGTCTGTCCTTTGTAGAGGAGGAAAACTTAGTTCGGAACATTTGCATCAGTGTTCCTTAATCACACGACTTTTAAGACCAAGAAGTCACATAATGGATCGTATCCATTACAAAGATATGGGGTTTGGGGGTGACCTATCCTTTGCTTTTGAAGAAAACTGTTCATTGCACCACAACATTTTAAAACTGGTGATTTTGCATTAAAAAATTCAATTTCTGTCTTCTCTCTCAAAAGCGGAAGATACAGCCTAACAGACCCTTCAGTCTCATAACAATCCAGCAATCAATCTGTGCTGAAGGCACACCCCATGTGCCATACTCCCAGCTAGCCCATGCCATTCAGTCAACGGGGGACTGAAGAGTGATGAGCTCCTCAAGGCTGCATCAGGGTCTCCCAGTCCCCAGCTCTGGGCGTGTGCCAGTGTCTCAGTGTCTTGTATTATTAATTCATGAATGCTCCTTCCTTTGTTTCCCCAGCTGTGACCTGCCCCGACGTCAGTAGCATCAGTGTGGAACATGGCCGATGGAGACTCATCGTTGAGACCCAGTACCGCTTCCAAGCCCAGCTGATGCTCATCTGCGACCCTGGCTACTACTACACTGGCCAAAGAGTCATCCGCTGTCAGGCTGACAGCAAATGGAGCCTGGGGGACTCTCTCCCCACTTGTCAGAGTAAGCCCAGGAGGGGAGGCTGGCCAAGTTAGACACAGCCTCCACTCTCGAACTGTCTCACACACGGGGTGAAATGAACCAGGGAGAAGTCTGCCACCAGGATGCAGTGTATCTCTTTTGGCTACTTAGAATTAGGAGTTGGTGTTTGGGCAGGTTGACTAGAGAAACAAATTCAGTAACGCTCATATACCTGTAAGAATGAGCCTTCTCAAGAAAACATCTCAGCCCAGTCCAACTCAAGTCCGTAAGTCCGATACTAGTCCCTACGTCCCTCTTCAGACTCACCACAGCCACACGCAATGTTGCAGCACGCAGGGAGCTCACAGGCCAATATGCGCCAAGTCATGAGGGCTCCGGCAGCTCTCAGAGTGGCCAGCAAGCAGGAAGGTCAAGGCAGAGAGACAGGAGGGGGCTCAAGGGTGGTTCCCTAGGCCCCCCTTATGAAAAGACCACGCCTGCAAGGAGGCACCATCAGGCTGTGAACTGATTGACAGGTTGAATTCCACCCCTACACTTCTATGTATCTTCAAGTTGACATGAAATTACGTAACTCCCGCAGAGCTGAAAACATCAGCTCCTTTAAAGAAGGACCCCATGGCATCTTGCTTGTCTTATGAAAAGCTGCCTTCTCGAGGAAAGCATGTAATCGTTTACTGTCATATGCCCAGTATCATACGTCCCACTACAAACCTCATAATATTAATCAGTATGGATGGCATGCGGCTGCTGTTAGGTGCTGCCAGTTCGTTCTGCCTCATCGACTTAATGTACAAAAGAATGAAACATTGCCTGGTCTACCACCATCTTCAAAATTGTTGCTTAAGCCCATTGTAGCAGCCACTGTGTCAATCCATCTTGTGGGGGGGCCTTCTTTTTCAGTGCCCCTCCAATTTACGAGCATGATGCCTTTATCCGGGGACTGGGGTCTCCTGATACCATGTCCAGATATGTGACATGAAGTCTCACTCTCCTCCTCTATAAGAGCATTCTGACTGCACTTCTTCCAAAATAGACTTACTCTTCTGGCAGTCCGTGATACTTTCGGTAGTCTTAACAACACCATAATCCAAGTCTATCAATTCTTCTTTGACCTTCCTTATTAATTGTCCAAACTTTACACACAGAGAGACAATTGAAAATACCACAGCTTGAGTCGGGCACACCTTAGTCCTCTTCAACACTTGAAAGAGGTCTTAGGAAGCATAGTTACCCAGTGCAATGCCTCATTTGAGCTCTTGACTGTTATTTCCAAGAACATTGATAATGGATCCAAGCAAGATGACATCCTTGGCATCTTCAATTGTTCCTGCATGTATCGTGATCTCATCTGTTGGTCCAGTTGTTAGGATTTTTATTTTCTTTACATTAAGTTGCAATCCATACTGAAGGCTGCCAGGAAATGAGCCTTCCTTGTAGTTGTGCTGCCTCATTCTTCATAGAGGTCCAGGTTCTTGAATTATTTGCTCAACAAACAGATTGAATAAGTATGGTGAAAGGATAGAATTCTGATATGCACGTTTTCTGATTTTATTGGATATTTTTGTTTGTTTTTTAATTCCATGTAGTATTTATTATAGTTATTTAAGTGATCACTGAAAATATCTTTAGCATATGTGGAGAAGTTAGCATGATTGAGATAATTTGATGACCTAGTGCAAGGATTGACAAGCCTTTTTTTAAGATCATTTTATTGGGGATCTTATAACTCTATTATTTTTATTAAAAGATCATTTTATTGGAGACTCTTACAACTCTTATGACAATCCATACATTGATTGCATCAGGCATGTTTGTACATATGTTGCCTTCATTCATTTCTAGGCATTTCCTTACAGCTCTTATAACATTCCATATATCAATTGTATCAAGCATATTTATATATATGCTGCCACATTATTTTCTAAACATTTTCTTTCTATTTATGCCCTTGGTATCAGCTCCTCTTTTTTTCCCTCCCTCCTAACTCCTACCCTCGTGACCCCTTGATAAATTATAAATTATTATTATTTTCATATCTTACACCAACTGCTGTTTCCCTCTCCCCATGATTTCTGCCTTTCCTTCCCCAGGGGACGGGTGTTTATGTGTCGATCATTGCGATTGTTTCCCCCTTCCTCCCCTTCTTCCCTACCTTCCCCCTGCCCTCCTGGTATTGCTACTCCCATTTCTGTACCTAAGGGGTTTATCTGGCCTGGATTCCACGTGTCGTAATTTCTTATCTGTACCAGTGTACATGCTCTGGTCTAGCCCAAAGTGAAAGGCAGGACTGGGGACATGATGGTGGGGGTGAGGAAGCCTCAAGGATCCAGAGGAATATTGTGTTATTAATCAGAGATCTACTCATCCCTTCCTTGTGACCCTTCTACGAGGGGAAGTTCCATTGTCTGCAGATGGGTTTTGGGTCCCTTGTTCTTAATAATATGTCTTTTAGTTTTGGGGGGGGGTCTTCTGATGCCTGTTACCTGATCCCATTGACACCTCATGATTGCTCAGGCTGGTGTGCTTCGTCCATGTGGGCTTGTTGCTTCTCTGCTAGATGGCCACTTGTTTAACTTCAGGCCTTTAAGACTCCAGACACTGTATCCTTTGATAGATGGGCACCATCAGCTTTCTTCACCACCTTTGCTTATGCACCCATCTTGTCTTCAGCTATCATCCCAGGAGGGTGAACATCACAGAATGTTTTTAGAACAAAGTGTTCTTGCATATAAGTATATGTACATAGGCCGATACCTCTAGTCTATGAATTAACATATTTACATATGTAAACACTCTCCTTTATACCTATATCCATAGCTTTGCTTCCTAGATCTTTCCTGTTTCTTTTTACCTTCTTCCTGTCCCACAATCACGCTCGCCCTTCTTCTGCCTCGTAGTAATTCTGCTTGCTAGGTTGCTGTTGCTCCTACACCCCCCAGGATCTCTATGTCCTCTCATTGTTGATTTTAACTCCCTTGCTGTTTCCCTGTTTATGGCATTGTTTGCTCACTGCTCCCTTCCCACACCTCCTCCTCCCCACAGGTCCCTCCGGAACCATCGGTCCCACAGCTTTCTCCTATCTTTTTTAGGTAGCCAACCCAACAATAACAGAGACATAAACCATAGAATTCCCTTTTCTGTTGGAACAACTGCTTTTTGATCCATGCACAGGTTCTGCATGAGCACAATAAAGTGTTGTCAGATTCCCATTCTTATCAATGTTAGCTACAGTTTCTTATGATTCACATAGTTGAATGCCTTTGCATAATCAATAAAACACAAGCCAGGATATTTCTGGATCTGTCCTGGGATAGCAGCACTGATTTCCCTCATTCCATGCCCTCCTCTGAACCCATCTTGAATTTCTGGCAGCTCCCTGCTAACATACTGCTGCAACTGGTTGGTTTTTTTTTAATTATTTATTAAATAAATAAAACTCTACTTGCATGTAATACTTATGATACGGTTTTATAATTTCCACATTCTTCTGGGTTGTCTGTCTTTGGAACAGGTCAAAAATGGATCTCTTGCCGGGGTTGGCCAGATAGCTGTCTTCCAAATGCCTTGGCATAAGTGATTAAGTGCTTCCAGTGCCTCCCCAGCTTGTCGAAGCAGTTCTGTTGGTATCCTGTCAATTCCTGGAGCCTTGCTTTTGTCGAAGCCTTCAGTGCAGTTTGGATGCTTCCTTCAGTTCCACCAGTTCTTGATCATATGCTCCCTCTTGAAATAGTTGTACGTCGGCCAGTTCTTTTTCTTACAGTGACCACGTGGATTCTTTCCATCTTCTTTTGATGCTTCTTGCATCATTTTGTCCATAGGATCTTTTAATATTTCAACTCAAGGCTTGAATATTTACTTTTAGCTTGACAGTCTAAGTGTTATTTTTTTTTCCTTTTTGGTTTTCTAACTCCACGTTAGAAATTGGAATACTTTGTCTTCTCAAGTTGCCATTTGAAATGTTATGTTCAGCTCTATTCTCTATTATTTTATTATTTGCTTTAGCTATTATATATTCAAAAGCAAGTTTCAGAGTCTTTCTGATATCCACTTCGGTCTTTTATTTCTTTCCTGACTTTTTAAAGCCCTTTAGATTTCTTCATGGATGATGCTCTGTTGATGTCATCACACAGCTCGTCAGGCCTTCTGTCATTAGTGTCCAGTGCATCACATCTATTCTTGAGATCTTCTAGAAATTCAGGTGGGATATATACTCAAGGTTGGATTTTGGCTACCGTGGACTTGTTTTCATCTTCTTCAACTTCAACTTGAACTTACATACGAGCAATTTCTGGTCAGTTCCATAGGCAGCCCTTGGCCTCTTTTGGCAGCTGAGAGTGAGTGTCTACATACCTTCTCTTCCCACAGGTATACTCAGTTTGATATCTGTGTATTCTGTCTGGCAAAATCCACATATACAGTTGTTGTTTATGTTGTTGAAAAATGACGTTTACAATGAAGTCATTGATCTTTGCAAAATTTTGTCATGCGATCTCCAGCTTTGTTTCTACCACCAAAGCCGTATTTTCCAACTACTGGCCCTTCCTCTTTGTTTCCACTTTTGTATTCCAGTCATCAATAATTATCAATGCATCTTGATTGGATATTTGATCAATTTCAGATGGAAGAAGTTGGTAGAATTGTTCAGTTTCTTCATCACTAACTTTAACAGTTGGTGTCTAAATTTGAATAATAGTTGTATTAACTGGATTCCTTTGTATGCATACAGATAGTATCCTCTCACAGACGGCATTGTACTTCAAAATAGTTCTTGAACTGTTCTTTTTAAAAATGAATGGGACACCTTTCCTCTTGAGTTTGTCATCCCCAACATACTAAAGCATATGATTGATTCAAAATGGCCAGTGTCTGTCCTTTTCAGCTCACGAACTCCTAGGAAGTCGATCTTTATGTGTTCCATTTCTTTTTTTTTTAGTCATTTTATTCGGGGCTCATATTGTGTAAAGCGCATTTGTACATTCATTGCCCTCATCATACTCAAAACATTTTCGTTCCATTTCATTTTTGACCACTTCAATTGTCCTATATTCACACTTCCCACATTCCTTATTAAGAGGTGTTTGCAGCTATTTCTTCTCATTTTGAGTCATGCCTTGTCAGCAAATAAAGGTCCCAAAAGTTTTACTGCCTCCAGGTCATTTTGGCTAACTGTACTTGGAGAAGGCGGCTCTTCCTCAGCCATATTCTGAGTGCCTTCCGACCTGAGGGCCTCGCCTCCCAGGACAGTGTCCGACAATGTTCTGATGCTATTCACAAGACTCTCGGTATAGTTGGCAATGCTTAGCTGCTTTTCATAAGGTTTTCCATGGCTACTGCCTCAGAAGTGAACAGACTATCGCTGTGCTTAGACTGGGAACTCCACTAAAACCCTTTCCCCTTGGGTGACATAGCTTCCAACATCACTGCAACGCGTGTTAGTGCTTTGGAGTAGGTTTCCC